TTTGGCTTGTGGATCTTCGGTAAGCAGTACAGCTCAGGAACAGACCAATTGCATTTGTAGCGAAGTTTCAGCATTATACCCTTTGCTTCTTCAGCGGTTATTTCGTTCTTCCTTTCCATAGTTGTTAGAAAACTTAGTCACTTTTTTCAGGGACTCTATCAACCGTTTCATTGGATCTTCGTATAGCAGGCCATAGCCGTTGTTAAGCTGTACTGCACAGCTAGCGAGATATTTCTCTTTATCCATGATCACGGTTGCGTTTCCTTTATCCGCTTTCATTATGGCGATGTTGCTATCTTTTACCAGTTGTTTTAGAGCAGTTTGTTCAGATTTACTTAAATTGAATCCAGCAATCTGAAATTTTTGAACTTTGACAGCAGCTAATTTGGCGAAGTCTTGGATGGCTGTCTGGTGATTTGTCAGATATGCTCGTTCAATCGATATCGCAATTTCGAGAACTGGCACTTTATCTGGAGCTGGGGCAAAATTAAAACCTTTGGAGAGAACGCACTTTTGATTTTCTGTCAAGTTCTTGCTGCTTAAGTGCACTACCGTTTGTTCAAAAACGATTTTCTACGCGAATTCCAAAACTCCGAGTACTTTTCCAGCATTCTAGGTGTCGAATTTCCTTCGCAAAGTCTATATATGTCTAGGATCGAAGTACGTTTGTTGGTGTTGGAACGAGCTATTATTGGACCCTAAAATTGGTGCAATTTTGCGCCTACACGCTGCATCTGGCAAACAGCACGAAGCCGTAGCCTGATCGAACTGTCTCATAGGCTAAAATAGAAACACGGAGGCCGTGCGAATACACCGTTTGAATCAGGGGAAGTGACATGAAATCATTTATTAGTATTTACTTGCATAGTTGAATCATCTCTCGTGGAGAATGCATGGCGATTACCTGTTAGTGCCTACTCGTACAGATTACCTATTAGGGACAGTAGAGAAAGATTACGTATCAGTCAACAGTTGGTTGACGGATCCATGGTTCAGCGCCCCAAATGGAGCAACCAAAAAGCGAACAATATTACTGTTTCGCAACTGAAGCCTATGTAGCAAACAATGTGATTGTCAAGTGCTTAACGAACAGAACACCAAAATGTTAGCTATCAAACAAGACATTAAACTTAAATTCACAATGCAATCGGATATTCATCATATCGACCGATCTTGCGCATCCAATTCGTCATTACGCCGAAGCTTTCACTAACAATTAGAGTAGTGCAATGCTTTCATTGAACATTCAGTATTTAATACCCAGTATATGCAGGGATGCCTTTATAAGGGCGCTTAAATTAGAATGGCTTTTGTCCATCACAGATACATTGGCCTAACTGAGTGTCCGTCGGACATGGTAGGCTGGTCAAAATCCTGGAAGTGTGAGCTTGTTCAAGGCGGACCTTGCGGATTTGGTATTCTTTGATCCGGATATTCAAGTTCCGATAGGTCTTTCCGATATGTACCTTATCGCTTTTCGCATTAGACGTCGCGTTGTTATTTAACACTCTGGCTTCATGTTGATCAAGTGATTGAGAATCGTTTTTGTCAAGAATGTTTCAATCAGCAAACAATGGTGGTACTGTTCGTTTGTTATATATAACAGCCTTCGAAGCAGCCATTTGTCTTAAGCCCTGATGATGCTACGGCGCACGCAGCGAGAAGCCATAGCAATGAAGCTTCAACCATTTGCAGTATTTGTCGTCGTAAATTATGAATTGATTAGCCACCTGTCGATTTAACTGTATGTTCAGAATCGATAACAACAATTCTTATTTAGTGCCTGTTACTTATTATTCGTAAAGACAGATACCTAATAGTACTTACTCGTTTTATATTAGTTTTTACTGTAGGAAAATGTGCGCAGCTATATTGTCGATGATTTGTGTTTTATTCCTGTTTTAATTGAGAGCCCCTAGCTGACTGTTTGTGATTTAATAATTTTGCCACACGCTGACGTAATTCTTATTTTTCATGTTCCTGAGTTCTCTTGAATTTTGCCATTTTTCTATTCCGATGTGTTGTCTTGTTCAGTTGTTTGTTGACGGTGTGTATTTGCCGTTAATTGTGATCAGTCATCATGTATCTTTGTGTAAATTTAGTTTCATTTCCACCTACATGCTGATGCAGAATTTTATTCTAGATTGTTTTGTCATATTTTTTCGCCACTCCGATATTTCCAGTTAGTTTCTGAATTATCATGCCGCGTTTGACGGGACTCTATGGAATACCGTTAAAAATGCAGTCCTAGGACAGAAAGCACCTAGCCGTAGACTGATCTGTGAAGGGTATATCTGGAATGATTTGAATGTGGTTAGTTGAAGTCAGAAGCTTCTGACTTGTTAACTGTTATACGTTTATTCGCTGTTTCCATTACTTGCGTTGTTCTTGCACATATTTGCCGCAGGCGAACTTCTCTTTGTAAGAACTGTATTCACTGTGCAAGATCATCTTTCAAAATCACAATTTTCCATTTAACGTTTCCGCTGTTTTGCAGAACTTGACCAAGAATTCTTCCGACTGTTTGCTTAGAACGGTTTCCTGAACGGCGCTTGTCCTCATTCATGACCGGGCAGAACTGTGATTTTCAATTGTTTATCCAAGGTTCAGCGATTTTTTTTGTACTCACAGATTGTTATTAAGGGTTGATATGCTCCTTCTCCCACAGATACACACAATCACCAGTAGAGGGCCCGATAAACAAAGAAAAACTTAGATCTGGTCAACTGTTTTGTTACAGTAGTCTTTAACCTTTTTGCAAAACTGCAGACTGATTAAAATTCGTAATTTTCATTTCTCTCTAGTGATGGTGGACTGTCACTGAAAATGCCCAATTGCGAGCCCTCATTGTCCTCATTGCCCTGCTCGAGATTACACAGAGTTACATTATATATTTTGGTGCTTATTAAGAAAGCTTTGAAACTTGGAGCATAACTTATCCAAGACCAGATTTTGCTGCTTAGTGCGCTGTTTAGGGCCATGTCATCTGAACAGGTAATCTCTCCATGGTATTGAGTACCTGCTGCGTTAGGTACATATTGCACGATTTTCTTTGCTACAACCATCTCATTCTCATCGCGAGAGATGTTTCGTGAACTGTTATTCCTTATATTCGGAAATATTAAAATATTGGTTTGTACACTGGAGTGTGTTGATTGGCGAGTGACTTATCCAAGTCCTAGGTAACTTTGAAACTTATGTGTTACTGGTCTCATTCTTCAAAACAAAGCTGTTACCATCTTCGTTCTCCAGTCTCCTGCTCTCTTACCTGTAGTCACTGCAGTTTGACAGACACGTGTCAACCACAACATGCCTTGCTCGCCTAATGCTTTGCCCATTTCAGTGCGATTTCATCTAGCAACCTTTCCACTTTTCAAGTTTTTTTACAGCTTGTGTGATTTCATCT